TACTCAAACATTCCATCCCTGCAACTTTTGGCTCTTTGCCTAAGGGGTCAGTTCCAGAATATCAATTTACTCTGACTAGACAAATTACAAGATCCAGTACCTCTATACTTGTGACACAAGGGCTAGAGGCAAATCCAATGTTCTTTTTTCACACACACAAAAAAGCAATTCTATCTGTGAAGATGTGAGAAGGCTTGAAAGAGGTGTAAACCCCATAAGGACAGAGGCTTTATGTGCCTTTTACTTTTTAAGTTCTTATTAGCAATATGATCTTGAGTAAAGTGTTCAACCCTCCTACCCTAGTATTTCATCATCACTTATAAGTACAGCTAAAAAATTGTACCTTTCTCTTAAAGTTTTAAGTATTAAACTAATATAGTGCTTAGCACTAAGAAGAACCATTGGAATAATTTGGGATTTCTTACTGTTTTAGCTAGAATGTAACTATACTTTTAGTACTTATTTAACTTGTCATTCTGAAGATATTCTTTAATATGAATTCAGATATTTTTAATAAAATAACTTGGCAATGAAGTATGTAAAATGATTAGATTGCCCCCAAATCATATATTAACTGCACAAATTTCAACTAGAGAGTTAAAAAACTATTTATTTAAAAGACTTCTTTTCTCTTTCATCCCTGTGGTTAATCCTTTTTGCTAGAAACTGTTTGTATAATAAATCTATTACACATAATTCAAGTGCAAAACAAGGAAAACTATATGAAAATAAACAATTCAACACCTTCACTGTAACAGTCATTCCCATTACGTGGTGACCGAGGGCCCCTCATGACCCAAGACTGTCGCAGGAGTCTTGTTCTCAAGGCCTCTGTTGGCTTTTCCATGGGACCTGGGGGCTCAAGAACAGTGAGGCTCAGGGGAACCCTGCGTTGACACAGGACTGCTGCTGAGAAACCCACCTTGTCCCCTTCTTCCACCTGGCAGATGACCTCCTCAGTAGCAGGGTTAATGACAGGAAACTTCTTGCCACTCACTGAATCATGCCATTCATTGTTTATGAAGATCTGCAGGGACACACATAAAGTACATTAAAAAGAATTCAAATATTACCTTCTGGAAATTTCTATGAATCCAGACTGAAACATCACACCATGCCTAAACCTTTTGCTACCTATTTTTTTTTTTTGTAATAACTGACATTTTACATACAATCACACATACATGAACACAAGCATGTTTGCACACTAAAATAAAGTATTTTTTACATTTTGTGAAGGATCTCAGTCTTTTCAATGCTTGAAAATACAGACTGGAGAAAACAATTTAAAAATGCTGTTTTTGACTGAAACAGCATAAATCTGAGGTAAGACTGAAGCTCAGGTGGACTTGTTCTTTGTAAACCATCGCTCTTTCATTTCTCTTCAAATTATGAATGTGACTGTTCTGGGCTACTTCCATGGGATATCATGACTGGCCATTTTTTGAT